TCATCCTATGAACAATGTGGTTCATTTACAGAGTTTATCTGTTCTTAATGATCATGTATGTCCCCTTTAAATTTACCAGATCTATAGATTATACTTTAAATATCTGTGTTGACTTACGATGAAGGCATCATGGGGGCTGTAGGCGTAGCTGCCACAGGCGTAGAGATGGGTGGAGTTGATTAGCTGTAACACACTGACAAAGTTTGGACAGTCGACCTGCAGACAGACAGACACACAGACTCAGTCTCACACACAACCACAAGTTTAAACACTTGATCTGAGGTGTCAGACTGAGTGGATGTCTCCTCCTGCAGTAATGCTCCCTGGAGTGAAAGTCTCCTGTGCATTTATCTGGTCCACATGAACAGATCTCACATTGCCCCTAACCCTGACTGATTTGAGTCATACAGATCGTTTCAGGACAGGAACTCAGAGACTTGATTAAAGACTGTGCTGGGCAGAAGAGAAACAGGTGTGTAGCAGTGTGTAACCTGGGTTGTGTTGAACGTGGGGGGGGGGGGGGGTTCGAGCAGAAGGGTGACCTGAGCTTGTTTGACTGCAGAGGGAAACACACCCGTTGACACAGAGGAGTTGATGATGTGCATAACTGCAGCGTTAAGTTTACAGGAAATGGTCGGTAGGAGGCTTGAAGATGATATCTTTCTTTCTGAGCAGCAGTGTTGAAAACTATGCCGTTAACACACGTCAGTGTGTTACAGAGAGAGGAGGTGTGAAAGTATATATATTCTGTCAGCCACCATTCGACTATTCCTGTCACAGTTCTTGTGAACAATGAGCTTTGTTTACAGCAGAAATATCAGCAACTTTTAGGTCAGGACTGAAGCAACCATCAGCGAGACGGAGAATAAACGATGATGGAGGTGTGAGGATATTTACCGAGGGGTTCTTCACTTTGTATTTACAGTCACTTGTTTCAGAGTCAGACGGACTCCACTGCACCTGGACGAGAGAGAGAGAGAGGACGCGTTTTAAATCAAAGCATCACGGGAGTGAGAGTGAACTGACTGAAGCTCACCTTGTTCTTCAGACTGATGATATCACTCTGACTGACGTCCAATGAGAGCACAGCGTCCCTTGCCCCTACATACAGGGTGGATGCATCGTCACTGAGCAGCAGGGTGGTCGTGTTTTGGATATCAGGGAGGCTGAAGAGGAGCAGAGGTCTGTCTGCAGAGTCTGAACACACACATAACATCTCTGTTATTATCTTTTAAAGTCATATTTAGTTGGTGTTGGTGTTTAATTTGTATCATGTACTTGCAGAGAGGATGCTTGTTACTGTTGTTGATCATCAAAAAAAAGTGTTATTGTCCTGCCTGTGCTTTGTGTTATCCGGTCTTATTGTGGCATGTTAATGTTAAATAATAGAGGACCAAGCATTGAGCCCTGGGGAACACATGTCGTTAGATGAGACGACTGAAGATAGGACCTGACAGACTTTAAAAGGAAGTTACTTTTTTGCATCATTGTGCATGAAAGAGGACAGCTTTAAAAGCAAAATGTTACCCAGTGCTTTAAGAAATATAATAAAGAACACAATGCATTAAACATGTATTTCTAAAACATTTATCCGCAAAACCAACTGACTGTTTTGCATTAGATTCTCGAAGTTTTGTTGTTTAAGACACTTTTTGATTGGACAGTGTCACTTTGAGCTACATCCTACACATTAGGTCAGTTGTTCTCAAGCTGCAGAGTGTGACCACCGACTGGGGTGTGGAGACTTGACAGGGCAGTGCATGTGACCAGAGCATGGCACCACCTCTCCAAGTGGCCACCAGTGGTTCCACTCCAAAATCATAAACAATGGTTGGCTATTTTCCTTATCAGAGACAGGATGTGTGGGAAAATCAACTACTCGAGTTAGAACAGCAGAGCAGCTTTCTTTACATTTCAATGAGGCACATTTCTTTAAATTGTGACCTTGGAAAAACACGGTGCCACTTGTGTAACTTTTATTCCCTCTACAAGGGGGGGGCATAAAAGTTCTATGAACACACAACCAGCTGCCTTAATAACTTCACAAAAGCAACTTCATATTTTAGCACCGTGCCGACACCCGTCACTCAGGCTGTCCTGGACTGCTCGGTGTTAAACTGTATCCATGGCAACACCTAATGAAATAAGAACTGACAAATTTGCTTAATTACTTTCTTCATTAAAACCATTAGTATTTGACAAAAAAGACAGAGTCGTAGTCCACGGTCTCATGAGCCCCAAATCTTCCCATAAGGATAATACTTTATTGATCCCCAGAGGGGAAATTCGGGAAATAATGCACCTGTTCTGAGTATGTGGAAAGTTGTCTTGTGGCTTTTCACACATCTGTTGTAACCAAACACAGGCCAGGTTATTGTAAATGAAATGAAAAGGTTGAACCAAACTGACACTATGTCGGGAGGTGAGAGAACAGAGGGGGGTAAATAATAAACCCCTACATCCCCACTTCCTGTTTCTGAGGCTGACAGAATGTCGGCTAAGTGTAAGAAAGGAAGTGGTTCAGTGTCATAGAAACTTATCAGCTTAGTATGAACAGACGCAGAATGACATCTGAGCAGAGTCTAAAATAAGAACAGAAGCAGAGAGATGGAAGAGAACAGCGTCTCAGGACAGTATTTATCTCATTCCCGTAAATACCAGAAGTTACATTAAACGCTGTGAAAGAGACAGACAGCTTTAAGGCAGAAAGAACATCATGACAGAGAAGTAGAGCAGGGTGTCGTCAGCATGGTGAGACAACAAGGCGAGGGTAAATCAGATTTTTATGGAGATGAATAAATCAAAGACACAAAGGAGTTTAAACCTCTTATTACAGGGCAGTGAGGGAAAGTTTTATTGAACACCAAGTGACATTTATTAAAATAAACCACTTCTCAAAGGACGTACAGTTTGTAAAGCAGAACACAAGTTTGTATTGACAAACGCACCGAGATACCAAACAAAAACACAATGCACCGAAACAGCCCCGCCCCCAAATCCACGCTACCCATAGTTCATCCCCAGACGCCAGAACCAGGAGCAACAGCAGGTCAAGTAGATAAGAAGCGAGGGGGGAGAGGACCTGTGGGTGTCAGGGTCTGTGTCCATTTATGGCTCTTTTAAGCTCTCAGCGCCCACCACCTCAGTTTCAGATCGCTTCTTACGAGCCATTATTGCTGCTAGGTTACGCAGGCTAGGCTCACCACATGTCTGCTTCTCATGGCGGTGACCCTGAGGTCTGTTTCAAGTAACTCTGTGTGCTGGGTGTTTGTTTCAGAAAATATCATCAAGATAACCTCCAAACAGTGTAAAGGATTCACGTCCTGATATCAGCAGCAGTTCGAGATGTTCTCAGATTTCTCCTCGCCATCGTAGTTAATAAAGCTGATATCAGAAGTCCCGTCCCTTCTTGACTTTGATTGCTTATCAGGGGAGAGGTGACGTGTGTGATAATGTTACAAAAGTTCAACCGTTTTAAGTGATGGTGCGGCCCCACTACACATTTCCAAGTCACTTGAAGATGCCCTGCCCAGCTCTGCCCGGGCTCACCTGTCTTTAATTGTGGAGTCATATTCATAAATCCAGCCCTCCACAAGGTTCATTTACAACATCACATCATTTTAAATTCATGACTTTGAGGGATAAAAACATGGCGCAATGAGGGATAAAAACATGGCGCAATGAGGGATAAAAACATGGCGCGAGCTATATCCACAAAGCATTCTGGGAAAGCTTGCAGCGTGGCCCGTTCAGGTTTGTGTGACTGAGTTTAAAGGGGTCATATTCTTCTTTTTCTGGTTTTATCTGCTCTTTAATGTGTTCCAAGTGTCCTGTGCATGTTTAGTCACATCTATGTGCAAAAATTCAAAGTACGCGGAAACGCAGCTTCTCCTACGTCCTCCTGTTAGCTGTAGCATTAGCTGCATGTAACGCTCAGTTCTAGCCCCCCTCTAAAAAATTTTGCCAGTGTGACGTCTTGTCAGTGTGAGATCACTGATCTAAGCCCATTGGCTCGTTGTGGTAAGCCCAGCAGCTCATGTTGCACGCCCGTTAACTTCTGTAGCACGCCCACGATATGCTGTAGCCTGCGGTAGCACAGTAGTGCTAAGGTGCTAATGTTTTTGCTCTCCGGCCCTCGGAGCCAAAGTGGCTGCATTCCCAATATGGTAAAAGAGGCGTGACATTTCCGAGAACCATGCTGAGCGACTGACCGATTACAGCAGAGCCGACAGGCCGACCAATCAGATCAGACTTGGCACACGTGGGGACTCTGAACGTGGGCACTTCAGAGCCTTAGAGAGAGAGTCAGAAGTGAGCCGGTGCATGGAGCGGCAGTTCATGAAAACAGACACTTTTTTAGAACTTTAGCTATTGTGAACATACTTTAGTAGGCACATAGATTAAATATATGAACCCCAAAAAAGGGCATAACATGACCTCTTTAAACAGAGATGAAACACTTCACCAGTCTCACCACAGGCATCAATGTGGGTCTGTTACCATGGTAACACACTGAGTCAGACTGGTTTCTGAACACAGAAATATTACAGAAGAGTAAAGTTTCCCTCTCAGTTCATGTCAGTTAAATGAAACAGTTTCACTATAACTCAAACACGAGATAACTGACACAACTCTGGAAAAACAAACAAACTGGGACTCTACTGAGCTTTGTTCCAAATGGTCGACGACGTCCTTTCAAATGAAGTTAAATTAAAATACACTTCCTGATGTCAGCTTCCTCTCACCGATCACCGATCTGCCCGTCCAGCGTGATGCCGTTATAGGCCGTGATTGGTCCGTTTGGGTGCTTACGATGAACAATGTGCAAATTACTTTCACAATCAGTCAGTGTCGGGAAAAAAATCCAAAGAGTACCTCGACACAGGACAGGGATACCTTGACACAAAAGCTGAGGGGCCCCTTAAATAAGTCTCCTAAAAGGTCAAACAAGCGGAAAAACATTAACCAGGTACCTAACAGCTTACCCTAAAGGGTTCCCTGAAACAGCTGATATAGGGTTCCTTAAAACAGACTAAAGGGTAAGGGTATCTTCTGCTACATCAAACTCAAGACTGATGCCTATTGGCCACCCTCCAAAGGGAGCCCTGAAATCTGTGTCTTCGTGTGCCTTAAAAGACTACAGGTTAAAACAAACAGGAACCTTTAATCAGGCGCCACGGGGAACTTAAAGCTGAACTTAAGGGTTCATTGAAATGTGTTTGAAATTATGTTGAAACAAGCTGTGAGGAAAACTCTTTATGAAGTACCTTAAAACACACCCGATCAGGTACTGTAGAAAATATTTCCATATTTCTGTATATAGGGCTATGCTAGCAGATTGCAGGTTTGATGCTAAGCTAACAGTGCTAGCTGCAGCCTTGTGTTCAGCAGAAGTGTGTTATGGGTGAGATAATCAGATGTTTACTGAAAATCTGTTAACAAACTGTTTTTAATCACAGAATAAACTTTTCTGTCCAAACTTGACGTTGCAACATTTCCCTGTAGGTGAGAAACTGAAGGTGTGTCTCCATCTTTGTGAACAAACACGCACTGTCGCAACTCAGACTCACAGGAAACACACACTATGACAAATCAAACAGAACAAGAGGAAAACTAGAGCAACCTTTTTTCCCTGGAGCCCTCCCCCCAATCCTAGCTGGGACCCTCAGAAACCAACATGGAGAAAAGTGAAACAGTTAAATATGTTTTAATCTTAGTCAGCCCCTCACCTGTGTTTCAGGTTACAATGAAATAAGGGCCCGCTCACATGGAGACGCTTCACGCTACGCTCGGCCTGAGAGCTTATCAGAGGGAACACAGCTGGGAGCGCCCGTGGAGCGAGGCTGCATGCTCAAATGGGCAAACAAATAGAATAAGTGTGAAAAAACTGACTTGAGCAAACGTAGAGTTCCCGCCGTTGCTTTGCTCTTTGATGAGGAGGTAAAGCCTCCTCCTGGATCCGATTGGTCGCATCGGCCAAAAGTGACACTGACGACCGCTGTGACTCAGCGTCTTGAGCTGAGAAGTTGAAAACATTTGAACTTTTATGTTTCCAAATACCGCAAGAAAAAGGCGTCGCTCAGCAGCAGCAATAATGTGGAAAATATAGAAGTTTATATGATTTTATATTTGAATCAGTATTTAGAGGTCATCTCACGACCACCCTTTTGGTAACTGGCGACCCCCGGGGGGGTCATGCCCTCCTCTTTGGGAGCCATTATACTATAGTGTCCACTCGTCCACATGAACAAAAATTAATTCTGCTTATTAGATCTGTGATACTTTAAATTTACAAGAACAAGGGGCGGCTGTGGATCAGTGGTAGAGTTAATACTGATGGACTCTTTACTCAGCAGCCTCTACCATCAGTGTGTGAATGGATGAGTTAATACTGATGGACTCTTTACTCAGCAGCCTCTACCATCAGTGTGTGAATGGATGAGTTAATACTGATGGACTCTTTACTCAGCGGCCTCTACCATCAGTGTGTGAATGGATGAGTTAATACTGATGGACTCTTTACTCAGCGGCCTCTACCATCAGTGTGTGAATGGATGAGTTAATACTGATGGACTCTTTACTCAGCAGCCTCTACCATCAGTGTTTGAATGGATGAGTTAATACTGATGGACTCTCAGCAGCCTCTACCATCAGTGTGTGAATGGATGAGTTAATACTGATGGACTCTCAGGTCCAAACCTCCATTTGGAGGTTTTCCCAGGCTGGATAAATGATAAAACCCCTCCAGCGAGCTCGGGGTCGACCTCGGGGTCGCCTCCCAGCAGAAGAACTCTTCAGTTATAAACGGATTCTTTTTGATCTGAAGAAACTCAGACTGATTTGTTTGTCCCGTGTTCTGAAACTGTCCAGCTGTATATACTGATGTATTATTGATCATGAAATAACCAATGATTGAAAACTGGTTTAATGTACAGTCCTCACTTCTGTATCAAACATGTTTTAAAGGACAAGAAGAGATGCTTCATACATGTAATGATAAAAACTCTTAGAATAACAGAAGAAAACACAAACACACATGCAGACTGTTGGGCCACGCAGGCTTAGGACAGTCAAACAATGGACTTGGGCCTGCACCTCTGTTTGAAGCCTCATTTGAGTTATTCACTGAGATCACAAAGAGGCCTAAAAGGACTCTTAATCCCAGAATCCCCTGCGGTACTTCACACCTATGCGTGAAGTAAGGGGGGGACCGGAACCTCTCTCTCCTCATTGGAGGGGACCTGAGGTAGACCCCCCATGGAGCAGGCCAGGCTACAAAGCTCCAAGACTTCCATTGTTCTTTCTCTTTCCACGCGCTGACTTCAAGTGTTCGGAGACACAAGCTCACCTCCTGTTTCCTGCAACCATCTTCCTTTGTTTTAAGTTTTGGCGCGCAGGTAATCCGCGGCCGGCAGTGTTCTAAATTCCGAGCTCGGACTGTCCAGTGAACGCATCTCAGTTTCTCGGAGAGCGTCAGACTATAACAGATTATCAGAAAGATAACGGTCTTATTCCGTCCTGCAACGAAAGGACATCAAAGGACATCTTTCCACTGGACGGAGAACCAACGAAGCCGCTCTCGCCGTAAGGGACCCTCGCCGCCATCAGACGCCTCTGCACCAGGACGGACACAAGATCTGTTCCATCGCCGGACTCTTTCCCTTTCACCAATCACGGACAAAGCGATTCACAAGTGAGGCTTAATTAGGTCTGGGCAGAATTAGCTTTAGAGAGTGTTTTTAACAATTGTTTGATTGAAGCAGAAACTGTAATTTTTATCTTTGTTGGACCTGCGTCCTGAGTTTTAACTGTTTAAAACTCTTGTTGTTTCGGACCGCTGCGTCCTATATGTGTTTAGTGTAACAGCGTTATAACCGGGTATTACTCTTCTGATCAGAAAGGCCAGTGTAAGCCGTATTAACCTGAATTCGGCTATTGGTTTGTTTCTGTGAATGAAGGGAATTACTCCGAGTTGTGGCGCGGGAGTCGGACTGTGATCCGGCCTCTTCAGGCACGCATTTCTCTTTTATTCTCTTTTATTTCCCCTTCTACAAACACACACACACACACACACATATTCCTGTGTAAACGTACATCTGGAGACCAACTCCACCACCGCGCCATTACGCACAGAGATCTATACACTCGCGGCTATCCAGACGCCTCAGAGACACAGATCGTGTAGGGCCGAACTCAGTCTCTTTTAGACCTTAAGGCCACATTTAGGCCTTTGTTAGGTGTGTGCCATCGGAAGGGCGACCACGTGGGACGAAGTAATCTCCCCCCTTTCTTCTTCCCCCTCTCTCTCTCTCACACTCACACTCACACACACACACACACACACACACACACACACACACACACACACACACACACACACACACACACACACACACACACACACACACACACACACACACACACACACACACACACACACACACACACACACACACACACACACACACACCTTCCACAAGCCTTTGCTTGATAATGTTTGTTGCTTAGATTAGTTTATAATAGTTATTTGTTTAATTAAGTTCATTGATTTTGGATTGATGTTGCTTTGTTTAAATAAATTCTGTTATAATTTAAGAGAGCAGTTGTTTGTGATTACTGGTGTATTTACATTGTGATATAAGCTGGGTGCGAAGGCTTTGTGTACGGATTTCACGCCTTCAATTTATTAAATATAGTTATTCATTATTAATAATATTATTAATTAAATAACTAATTTGAGACTGATTTGAGTGATATTTTGGTTATATTTACCTGATTACAGGTTGGTGCCCCAAAATGAGATTAAACATAGTTTAATGATATTTTATTTATATTATTAATAATTAAGTATAATTATTAAAGAATATAACCAAAGTTGACTTGATACAACCCCAACAAGACTCAGAACAGACGAGACAGATTTAACGATGATTATAAAAGATGTGTGGACTCACTGAGCAGGAAGGTTTTTCTCGGAGGAGGCAGCGAGGCGGAGGAGTCCAGCAGGACGAGGACGAGGACGAGGACTGATGGAGCCATGATGGAGGAGATGATGAAGGAAAAAATAGATCTGTTCCTCGTCAGTTGTTAATGCACCGACTGAGTGCTGACAGAGAGACTGACACCAAACCACTCGAAGACTTAAAGAGTGACCACAACTTCCTCTCTGCTGCATCTACTGAGGAGGAAGAGGAGGAGCCTGAGCGCCTCTGAGTATCTGAGAGAAAGTCCTCGTCAGAGAGGAAGATTTGATTCTTAGAGAAGAACTTTTGATATCGTCAGAGTAAAGTTAAACACTCAGCTGCAGCAACATGTCCCTCTTGTCTGTGGTCTAAAGAAGTCCAGTCCCAGCTGGGCTTTCATGTTGCACCTCCACAAGGCCTCCCATCAAGGTTAGACCCAGTCTGTAGTCCATCCCTCTGAGTCAGGTACATCGAACAAACATGAAACACGTTCTCAGGCAGAGCACAGAAAGGACAGTTTAACATTTAACGGGTAGTGATGACACCGTGTCGACCCCACTGAAGGTCACCACCCCCCCTCCAGCCTGGCAGGACGGACCCCCAACAGTGAACTCACAGCCTGGATATCAGAGAGCGTTGGTCCTGCAGAGTCCACTACAGTCTCTGTGCTACACAGCGCCCCCATCAGGCCCGGTGCGGCGATACAAAACACATCCACTCATGGCACTTCGATTCAAAGGCTCCATTAACCACGAGTGCTGAGAGTTACACTTCCAGATTCTTCTCAAAGAAGAAGTTTGGTTCTGAGTCTGTGACATTTGATTCTCTGGAGGACGCTCGGAGCAGTGAGGCGTTTTGTTTCTCATGTCGCTCTGAGTCATGTCTTCCTGTTTCACATCCTCCATCAGGTGGTTTTCACTCCCGAGGAGTCTCGTCCAATCAGACGCCTAACCGTCACCTGAACTCAATTTATTATAAATCACATTTTGTTCTGATCAAATTCACGGATAAAGATTTTAAAACAAACTTCTAATTAAAATTCAGAAAAAGAGAAATATTTTAAAGAAAGTAAATTTATTGTTGAACTTTCCTTTAGCAGCAAACAAGTGAACACAACAGCATGAATACCAACCTGTCAATCAATCAACCTGTCAATCAATCAATCAATCAACATGTCAATCAACCAATCAGACGGATGAGGTCGCGTTTGCTTCGTCTTTTTAAGGATCCGGTGAAAACATTCAGTCCTGCTGGACGGTCTGTCAACATCATTAGATGTGACATCACTTCCATCACCACCAGCTGAGATAATAACGTTAGCTTAGCATGTTTTATGTTCATGTTCCTTCATTGTTCTCGACCGATCATACGGAGACGCGTCGGCTAGACGCTGCAGCTCCAAAAACGCCCTGAGCGAGAGAACCTCTGGGAGCGCCTGTAAGCGAGACTCTGCGTCTGGTGAACCGCTAGCAAAACAAAAAGTGCGCCCAGCGAGCGCGCTGAACCAGAGGAAGGCGGCGGTTCTGCTGGCGTGTGTGATGATTTACACGTTTTCTGACTTCAAGAGCCCGTTAAATAAAAAGCTGCTTCAGATTTTAACTCTTTGTTTGATTTCGACCTGAGACGTAAAAAGTGACGTGAACAGAAGTCGTCTGGAAAGTCGGTTTTGGATGATTTGTCTCGTCTTCGGGGCTCAGACATTCTCGCTTTTGAACCTCGCGTACGTGAAGACGACCGGCTGCGTCCTGAACGCAAATGTTCACATATGGATGAACAACCCGTGGTACTGGAGGATTCCTCTAGAGGGAGCAGCTCATCCATCAGGGGGCTCAAAACAGGAAGTGGAGACGATCTGTCGCCAGCTGAGACCACAACCCAACACTGCCCCTAGTGGTTATATGCATATTACACGTCTGCGTAGTTCAAAGCGAGTAAACACTTAACGTTTCTAACGACCTGCAGCTCTGAGGCTTTTTTAAAAACCACGTTTTGAAAACAATAGAATCTTTTATTTTAACAATCAACAGTTTTAAAAAGTAAAAACAAAAGAGAGAAAGCACCGGCTAACGTGTTTGTGCAATTCAGACGTGCAACCTTTGATATTTCAATCATTACCAAATATTCTGTTTGTGTTGCCGTGGTAACAAACGGCTTTTGATATGGATTGTTATTGTCGTTTCTGATATCGGTCCGTCTTCTTCACCTGTAAACTAAAAATCAAACCATCACAGACAAACCGTTTATTCACTCTGCAGCTGCTCGCTTTTCAGAACATCTGTGAAATCTGCGGTTACGTTTTCAGATAAAGTGTCAATATCAGAAGTGTCAGCAGGTTACAAAATAAAAGCACAGAGGAGATAAATGTGACAGCATCTTTGGTGTGAGTCTACAGTCAATAAAAACTTGCTCCTGTAAGGCTAACGTTCACTTCCTGTCCAAAGTCCAACGAGGAAATCATGGAGGCCATCCAACGGGAGGAGGATGACTCATCAGAGGACGAGCGAGTAAAGTCTGAGAGTTTCAGAATAAAGAGAAAATGTTTCAGTCACATTCAAAGTTTACAAAATAAAATAAAGTGTTTAAAAATAGATTTGATTTGAATTTAATCCATCATGTCTAACGCTTAGCCTCAACGAGGTCTGGAACCAATCCCAGCTGTCGTTGGGCGAGAGGCGGGGTTACACCCGGACAGGTCAACAGCCAATCACAGGACTGAGGTGTAAGTGCTAAGTTCAAAACACGAAATGTAAGTCTCTATGACGAGACTCCTCCACTGGGAATGTCAGGGAGGAACACACACACACACACACACACACACACACACACACACACACACACACACACACACACACACACACACACACACACACACACACACACACACACACACACACACACACACACACACACACACACACACCTTATTAAAACTGAATTTTTACTGTTTTTCAACTTCATTCTTAAATTCGCAGAATTTTTCCCAGAATGCATCACTAATCTCGCCATGGTTGACCTGATGAGTCACTCAAACTCCGAGGACGCTCCTCCTTAAAAGGATTATTCCACGATATTTAACTCCCGGTGGTCGAGTCCATCAGGACGTTTTGTTTCCATGACGATAACATCCTTTCAGTGTTCGTCCTTCTATTTTAAAGTTTGACTGAAAAGTTTTTTTTAAACGAAAGGCACTGATCCCCCTGCAGGGGGCGCTGTATCATTCATCACACCAGGACACTGGACTGTGACATCCTCAGCAGTTAAAGGTCGGGGGTTTGATTCCCGAGTGTCCGCTTTCCCTCTGCGGCATGCTGCGGAGCAAGGCACTGAAGATTAGAGGAGGAGATTTATTTACAGTTTGAGGTCAGCGAAGACGAGAGAGTAGATCAGAGTCCTCTTCATCGGGTCGTTCAGAGTGTCCGAGTGCGTCGAGGTTAAAGCGGAGACGTCTCGACTTTCTGAGGAGCTCCGGGTCGAAGCGGAGGAGGAGGAGGAGGAGGAGGAGGAGGAGGAGGAGGTCGCCTGCAGAGACGACACAGACTTAAACGTTTTATCATCAGATTTAAAAAAATCTTTAAACGTTTCTTAAACAGAAATCCTCCAATCAAGACACGTCTGCCCCTCAGGTTCTGGCTCTCTGATTGGTCTAACAGTCGTACCCTCAGGTTCTGGCTCTCTGATTGGTCTAACAGTCGTACCCTCAGGTTCTGGCTCTCTGATTGGTCTAACAGTCGTACCCTCAGGTTCTGGCTCTCTGATTGGTCTAACAGTCGTACCCTCAGCTTCTGGCTCTCTGATTGGTCTGTCAGTCGTACCCTCAGGTTCTGGCTCTCTGATTGGTCCGTTAGTCGTACTCTCAGATTCTGGCTCTCTGATTGGTCCATCAGTTGTACTCTCTGATTGGTCTATCAGTCGTACCTGTTGATCCCGGCTGCAGGTGTGACGGCTCGGAGACGCTGTGGTTTGGTGGTGCTGGTGTAACCGGGATGTGGTGGGAGGGGGGGCTGGGACAGCGGCACATGAAGGCGGGGCTTAATGGGAACCACAGGTTTGGGTGGCCCAGGGACCTGAGTGAAGCATTATGGGAAGTAAAAGAGTGAAGTTACTTTCTTCTTTGAATTAGCAGAAATAAATTATAGAATTAAACTTCAATTTCCAGCAAAGATTAAATGTTTCATTAAAGCGGTTTCTCTGTTCAGACGTCATCCGAGGTTTGTTGTTGTGTTTCAGTTCAGAGAGAGAAATATTCTAACAGTTCAAGCTCAGTCAGCACGTCCAATTTACAAAGACACATTTCATTTATCCTCTACTTTGACATTTTTAAGATTTCTTCTCATCTGAATTCAGAGAAAAAACTTTTTCAAGCTCCAATGGAATACCTCTCTCTTTCACAAGCAAACCTTTATTGTGAAAGATATACAGGAAGTGGAGCTTTTCACAGACCAGTTAAGGAAAAAGCAGAAAAGTAGAATCAAAGAACGTTTTTTTGTGTTTAAGAAATGAACATTTTCATTGATCAGGTAACAAATCAAAGCTTGTTTCCTTTAAAGGTGACATATCCTCCTCCTCCTCTTCAGTGTAAATAAGTCTCAGAGCTCCTCAAAACATGTGTGTGAAGTTTCTTGTTCTAAATCCACTCTGATCCTGTATTTGATCATGTCTATAAACCCCTCTATTTCAGCCCTGCTCAGAACAGGCTGTTTCTGTGTCTGTACCTTTAAATATGTAAATGAGCTGTGTCTGACCACGCCCCCTCTCTGGAAGGACTTGGGTGTACTCGGTCTTTCTCGCTCCATGTCCTATTGTTTACGGTGAGAAGGCAGACTCAGAGGGCAGAACAAACACCTAGCTGTGGGAGTGTCACCCACCTGGGGGAGGGGCTACTGCCCTTTGTGATGTCATGAAGGGAAAATCTCCAAACGGCCTGTTTGAGCACACATTTTCTGAAAAGTGGAAGACGGAGAGGATGAACTTTTCTCATCATTGGGGGGTTTGTCGACAGACTAGAGACACATGTTAGAGTTAGAGGAACATGGAGAAGAGGATTTAGAGAATATGTGACCTTTAAAGTCCAACAGTTTTGTTAAACATCAAATATTTAAGATCAGAAACTGGCACATCTGATGCTGATTAATGCTCCTGAACGCACCACGTCTGTGTCATTAAGTCTGATCGTGTGTTACCCAAACTGATTCTTCAATCACTCATCGACTCTTTAACCCGATCAATCAAAGATTTCACCGATCCATCACCTTCCTCATTCAGCGTCAGGTCACCGCTCTACATGCTAACAACGTGCAGCTAACACTACCCAGCATGCCACGCAGGTGTACCTGTCCAGGTGTGGCAGGGTCAGGGGGGAGTGGCTTGTCGGGCGGAGCTGGTCGACTCACCAGCAGCTGGAAGGTTAGCGAGGAGGAAGAGGAGAAGTTTTATACTTCCTGATTAGAGAAGTCAGCAGAGAGCAGCCAAATATGTTTTAGTGCTGCATGCAGAAAGAAACAGAAGAAGACAAACCAAAGAAAAAACTCACATCAACATTTACATCAAAGAAACTGAAATCAGTTTCTTTGATTAAATGATCTGAACGTGCAGATTTATTTAACCCATGCAGCGTTCTGTTGTTTGCATCATATTTTATTTACTTTAAAAACATTTCTGTGCTGTTGAATATGGAACAGTCTTCTTCACAATGCTAACAGGTTAGCCTCTGTTAGCTTCAAAGAAACAATCAGGGTCCATAAAACTCTGATGAGGGCTGCAGTCGCTCACACAGGAGAGGTTAGCTTGTGCGGGAACTAGCTAGGTGGGCTATCGTTGTTGGCTAGAGCTAGCATGTGCTAAGCGAGCTAGCTAGTTTTCATGATGCTATAAAAGATCAATCTGGATTTTATTTTTGTCCACAAATCTCAAAAACACAACAACCAACCACGCTGCTGACGGCAGACAATTCACTTCACCGTGTAATCCGTCCGTCCGCTCGGGGTCGTGGGGGGCTGGAGCCGAACCCAGCCGTCATTGGGCGAGTCGATGCTACACCCTCGATTGTTCGCCAGCCAATCACAGGGCAGCGTATAATATGTGACTCTTAATATTTACAGCAATAAACAAATATCATCTTTGTGAAGTAAAAGAGAGAGAAGTCAAACTCCTCTGGGTTTGTGTTGTTCTCAGCTCTGTGTTCACACAGAAAGGGGGCGGAGCTTCCTGCAGCTTGTTTATGTTTCAGACATGTTTTTAACCTGCCGCTGTGTGTGGACACGCCCCTTTAACCCTGAGTCTGATTATGTGTGAGTAGTTTTTGTGTCCTGTAGAGACAGATGAGTTTGAGCGACGCAGACCGGACGTCAGTGAAAACTTGGTTCTTGGTTCGAGTCCGACGATGAGATTTGTGAACAAGAAAAACGATGTTGCTACTTCACTCCTCGGAGCAGCAGGGGGCGCTGTACATGTAGACAAACACAGGACAGACAGCAACACTTCACACTACAGGTGACTGTACCTGGTTGGGGGGGTCGGGGGGCAGAGGCTTGGTGGGGGGGGCAGGTCGCTGTTTAACAGATTGAAGCAGCAGAGAGAAGAGTCAGCGAGCAGCAGGTCACATGATTAGGATCAAGGTGATGTCATTGTTTCTCATCAGCTGAAGTAAGACGTATTCTGAACGATTTCTCCTCGTAACAGTTAACAGCGTGTCTTACTTTGCTCTGTGGTCAGCGGCCGGTTCTTATGTACGAGCTGGAAATCAAAAATAACTAAATGATCAGTTCTGGTGTGCAGGAGGTCAGTTTTAGTTGCCATGGTAACGATATCGCTTAAAGCCCCTGAAAACCAAATCCATGAAAAGCTTCTGACTCTTTATGATCTCATGTTCTTCTCTAAAAGACGTTACTCCAACCGTTTCTGACATTCCTCGTTTAAGTTTTTGGACATTTTTTGGACTTTGGGTGTGAAGTGGGCGGGGTTAGCTGAGATTTATCCAATCAGGTGCAACTAAACTATGCAGCTCCTCCCTCTCAGCCTTCACGCTCCTGGCTGCTCATCCACCGCTGACGCTGACGACTTGTCATGCGGTGGATTTGGAGAAACAGTGAGCTCGTTACCCCACAAGACCAGTTAACCAGTTAGGTCCTGAAAGAGCTTTGCCAAACGGCTTCGTCTAACACTTGGAGCGGCGTCCTGCCTCTCCTCGCACGTCAGCCTCTCTGTGCCCGCCCACAGGAAGCCAACAATTCGGCGAGAGTCGTCCTGCTGGTTACTCGTCTTAACTTTTAAGTTCCTATTCAAACAAGCCAAAACTTCACAACGTTTATTTTCCTGTATTTCAGCTTTCCTTTATGTGAACGAGGGAGAAAGAATGTTAAAAAGTGGCACTGCTAGCTTGGTTAGCGTAGCAACATATCCCAGGATGCTTTCAGCAGCGAGTTGCCAAACACAATGAATGGGGGCGAGTTTTGATTGACATGAGAGCTGCCACGCCCACACAGTCTGAGAAATGACCAACGCTGATAAATAAACTGATTCTGAGCAAAGTTTTCTAAAAGTTACAAATCTTTGTTTTCACTCAGAGTTTTTGTGGATTCTTAATCGTACGTGACATTTTAAAGTCCGGACAGGTTTCCAGGAGCTTTAAGTATCGTACTGATGTTTAAATCTTTGGACGGTTCAGATGATTGTGATGAGGATGGAGACGGCGAGCGACGTCAGGTGAGTAACTACAGAAGTGTTTGATACTCTTTGGATTCCAGTTTAATGAGCGATAGAATCAAAACGTATCACGCAGCGTCATGCACAGCTGGTGACGTCAATCGCCTTGACGCACAGCTGGATCAGAAACACGACGACAACACGACAGACACACAGGACGACAGCAGCAGAGACACAAACGGACGTTCACACCCAGAGCTGAGGTCAGGTGAGGTTACCTGCGGCGGGGGTTTTAGGGCGGGGTCAGGGGGGAGTGGCTTAGAGGGAGGAGCAGGTCTGTCATGTTCCTGATAGGAGAGAGAACAGGAAGCAGAGTGACACATGCACTGGAGAGGAGGTCAGAGGTCAAAACAGGCAGGTGTGTTAATGTGAGCAAGAAAAGTATATACATCTGCAGCTTCCTTCTACTGGGCCTTTCAAAATAAAACATAATATGTTCATTTAACAGCTCAGAAAAAAAAGGTAAAGGAAAAGCAGAACAGACCAAAGAAACAGAACCTCATTCAAATTCTTCATCAACCAATAAAAGCTTCTCTCCAACAATCAGGTAAGATATTATTCTCTGGGTGAATCCCTGATTCTGATTGGCTGCCTGGAAATAATGGACTCCTTGTGTTTAGGTTCGTTGTTCTGATAAAATGCTCAGAGCTTACGGTAGATCACATCCTGTTCACCAATCAGCTCTCTACTTGTAAACACAGCTGACCTGCTTCAAACTGACCACAGTAAACATGGCCGACCAATGAGCTCTCTGCTTCAGGCTGACCACAGTAAACATGGCCGACCATCGCGCTCTCTACTTCAAACTGACCACAGTAAACATGGCCGACCATCGCACTCACTGCTTCAAACTGACCACAGTAAACATGGCCGACCATCGCGCTCTCTACTTCAAACTGACCACAGTAAACATGGCCGACCATCGCACTCACTGCTTCAAACTGACCACAGTAAACATGGCCGACCATCGCGCTCTCTGCTTCAGGCTGACCACAGTAAACATGACCGACCAATGAGCTCTCTGCTTCAGGCTGACCACAGTAAACATGGCCGACCATCGCGCTCTCTGCTTCAAACTGACCACAGTAAACATGGCCGACCATCGCACTCACTGCTTCAAACTGACCACAGTAAACATGGCCGACCATCGCGCTCTCTGCTTCAAACTGACCACAGTAAACATGGCCGACCATCGCGCTCTCTGCTTCAAACTGACCACAGTAAACATGGCCGACCATCGCGCTCTCTGCTTCAAACTGACCACAGTAAACATGGCCGACCATCGCGCTCACTGCTTCAAACTGACCACAGTAAACATGGCCGACCATCGCGCTCTCTACTTCAAACTGACCACAGTAAACATGGCCGACCATCGCGCTCTCTGCTTCAAACTGACCACAGTAAACATGGCCGACCATCGCGCTCTCTGCTTCAAACTGACCACAGTAAACATGGCCGACCATCGCGCTCTCTGCTTCAGGCTGACCACAGTAAACATGGCCGACCATCGCACTCACTGCTTCAAACTGACCACAGTAAACATGACCGACCATCGCGCTCTCTGCTTCAGGCTGACCACAGTAAACATGGCCGACCATCGCGCTCTCTGCTTCAAACTGACCACAGTAAACATGGCCGACCATCGCGCTCTCTGCTTCAAACTGACCACAGTAAACATGGCCGACCATCGCGCTCTCTGCTTCAGGCTGACCACAGTAAACATGGCCGACCATCGCGCTCTCTGCTTCAAACTGACCACAGTAAACATGACCGACCAATGAGCTCTCTGCTTCAGGCTGACCACAGTAAACATGGCCGACCATCGCGCTCTCTGCTTCAAACTGACCACAGTAAACATGGCCGACCATCGCACTCACTGCTTCAAACTGACCACAGTAAACATGGCCGACCATCGCGCTCTCTGCTTCAAACTGACCACAGTAAACATGGCCGACCATCGCGCTCTCTGCTTCAAACTGACCACAGTAAACATGGCCGACCATCGCGCTCTCTGCTTCAAACTGACCACAGTAAACATGGCCGACCATCGCGCTCACTGCTTCAAACTGACCACAGTAAACATGGCCGACCATCGCGCTCTCTACTTCAAACTGACCACAGTAAACATGGCCGACCATCGCGCTCTCTGCTTCAAACTGACCACAGTAAACATGGCCGACCATCGCGCTCTCTGCTTCAAACTGACCACAGTAAACATGGCCGACCATCGCGCTCTCTGCTTCAGGCTGACCACAGTAAACATGGCCGACCATCGCACTCACTGCTTCAAACTGACCACAGTAAACATGACCGACCATCGCGCTCTCTGCTTCAGGCTGACCACAGTAAACATGGCCGACCATCGCGCTCTCTGCTTCAAACTGACCACAGTAAACATGGCCGACCATCGCGCTCTCTGCTTCAAACTGACCACAGTAAACATGGCCGACCATCGCGCTCTCTGCTTCAGGCTGACCACAGTAAACATGGCCGACCATCGCGCTCTCTGCTTCAAACTGACCACAGTAAACATGGCCGACCATCGCGCTCTCTGCTTCAAACTGACCACAGTAAACATGGCCGACCATCGCGCTCTCTGCTTCAGGCTGACCACAGTAAACATGGCCGACCATCGCACTCACTGCTTCAAACTGACCACAGTAAACATGGCCGACCATCGCACTCACTGCTTCAAACTGACCACAGTAAACATGGCCGACCATCGCGCTCTCTGCTTCAGGCTGACCACAGTAAACATGGCCGACCATCGCACTCACTGCTTCAAACTGACCACAGTAAACATGACCGACCATCGCGCTCTCTGCTTCAGGCTGACCACAGTAAACATGGCCGACCATCGCACTCACTGCTTCAAACTGACCACAGTAAACATGGCCGACCATCGCACTCACTGCTTCAAACTGACCACAGTAAACATGGCCGACCATCGCACTCACTGCTTCAAACTGACCACAGTAAACATGGCCGACCATCGCGCTCTCTGCTTCAAACTGACCACAGTAAACATGGCCGACCATCGCGCTCTCTGCTTCAAACTGACCACAGTAAACATGGCCGACCATCGCGCTCTCTGCTTCAGGCTGACCACAGTAAACATGGCCGACCATCGCGCTCTCTGCTTCAAACTGACCACAGTAAACATGGCCGACCATCGCGCTCTCTGCTTCAAACTGACCACAGTAAACATGGCCGACCATCGCGCTCTCTGCTTCAACTTTCCGACTTCCGAGATCAAATGGAACGCAGCAATTCTGAGAGCTGTTGGACTACAGATAACTCCTTTTTCTATTTCCTGGATCAGTGAACAGCGTTTCCAACCTTTTGGAAGTCTGACGGTAGTTTCAGGTATTAGTCAGACCCTCAGGTGTTACCATGGAAACACAGATTTGTCTAGTAAACATTGTGTCGGCTTTGTGTGGAACTGCTCTGGCCTCCATGTTGTTAATTAGTTCCTGTCGCCTCATTGGTCACTTTCCTTTACTGAACAAACTCCATCTCCCAGAAGCCCACAGTAACACAGGAAGAAGAACTGAGCGTCTGCGGTGAGTTCACTGACTGTAATGACAACAGGATGTTTGAGTGTCTGTACAGTCACATTGGTCAGATGTTGGCGCCACCTGGTGGTTATGTAGTGAAATGACACCTGGATGAACCTGTTACTAAAGAAAAGGTGAGCTGTGTGCTCCCTCATGATCTGAGGTGGTGTTGCCGTGGTTACCTCTGTGCAGGGCGAGGTCAGTGGGATGTCGGTCTGTGGCTTCAGGTGGTACCTCAGAGGTCGGACCTGCTCCCCGTTCCTGCCGTCCACTCGCTCCATCGCCGGCGTCCTGACCACACGGGGAAAAAACATGTTTTAAAGATCTGATGACATTTCTGGAAAAGCTTTGACCTCCGTCTAACACTTAACTCTACGGTGATGCATTCAAGGGCGCTCAGACGTGCAAGAATAAATACTTCTGTGAGGTTTCACTACTGTGATGTCGTGCACGAGTTTTATCTCCAACAAATAAAAACATTTAACTCTCAAAAGAATATCTTTATATCTTATAAGACAACTTTCAAATTTTTATATTTTTAGTTATTTAATAAAGTTTCTAATTGAAGCTTTTGTTTCAAAACTTCATAAATACGATTATAACTTGTGTCCAGTGGTTGAAATATGTTATTACTTAAATACTGTCTGTTCTTTACTTTTCTTAAGCCTCGTGATGTCCTCCTGATTGCAATACACCACCTGTCCTCTGGGGTCAAAATGAACCCGCCCGGTCTGACTGTAATTTGAGTCATATAACATAAATTAATTCAATCAATTCTGTGTTACACCTTTAGTCTGACTTCAGTCCAACCCATTACCACGCATGTTCCCTTTTGTTTTTTAAATGTAGGGCCAATAGACCTTGTTTACATAAAAGTAGACCCTTTTTTTGAGTGGAAAAAAATATATTTTGAATTTATATCATTTTGACTCTTTGACTTGTCACAGAGTGGTCTATGTCTAAGTATAAGTTTAGTGAAGATGCTGTGTTTGAATCATTTGAATTTATTGAATGGCAGCAAATAATAACACCTGCTGCCGTCCGGTTTGACTGTAATTTAAAGAATATAAAGTGGATTTTTAAACCCAATTCTGTGTTACACCTTCAGTAACAACTTCATTCAAACACATTAGCACCATTTTTTTTATTCCATTTGAGATTTAAGGTCAATAAGACCTCATTTACATGCCTGCATGCGAGGCAGGTAGTAATGGCATGATCTGTATATGCACTGCTTTTTTGGCACATTTCTGATGTTTTGAGATCACTCTGGTGAGGGCAGAGTTTGCACTTGTTTTTTGGGTGATGGGCCAGGAGGGGCTGCTGGGTGAGGGGGAGCTGCTGCAGAGGCCAGAAAGATACCTACTATTTTAACTAGTGGACATCGAGGCACTTATTCCTTTAGTAGTAAACTGTACGGGGCTTTACTTGTAAACTGTACGGGGCTTTACTTGTAAACTGTACGGGGCTTTACTTGTAAAGCCGTAAGGTGAAAACTGCTCCCCCTAGTGTGACTAATTGACATTTTAGCTACTACTAGTTAACTAGGAAACATTTCCGAGCCTATGTCAAGCCCTTTTAACATTAAATCATTAAGAAATTGCAGATATCAATAATTGATTTTTGACATGTTAGAATTCCAAGCCGACATATCCACAATGTCATTTTCAACTCAATTCTCACTAAAAATGTTTATTCTTGATATCAAAAATTCAATTATTTGAGTGACAAAATTCATTTGTGATATCTACAATTGTTCTTACATTACAAATATCACAATTAATTCTAGATATCTAAAATGCAATTCTTACTAGTCGAAATTACATTATTGATATGTTGACCAAAATGACATTTTGACATGTTGAAATGTAAATTCCAATAGTGAAAACTAAATTGCCACTTGTCAGCCAGACTCATTTAATGTTTAAGGACTGGCCATACCGAGCCTCACTAGTTAACTAGTAGACATTTTGCACCTTACTAGTTAACATGAAGAATTTTTGCTGTCTACTAGTTTACTAGTAAATCTTTCAACTCTCTACTCGTAAACTAATGCAGTCGAAGACCTCACTAGTGCAGGAAACTGAGTTTTTTGTTGTTGTTGTTGTTGTTGTTGTTGTCATAACTATTGCTTGACCCTTAACATCAAACATCCACGATCAAAGATGTTTTGGAAAGCAGTATGGTGTGATCATTTGCTCCAATGCACCACTTTATGCTGCGGGGTCATTTTGACCCCAGAGGACAACAGACGTTAGTAAATTCAATAAAAAAACAATAATTCAATCAAATTACCTCAAATTTACTGTAATCATGAAGAGCAACACGAGGGCTAAAGGACTTTTATTAGCAAACACGGGGAAGGTTGTGGTCGTAACCGGGGATAAAAATCAAACTGAAGTTATTTGTTCTTTTAGAAAGAGGAGTTTTCCTTCTAATCACAGTAAAGACGTGGAGAAATAGACGATCAGTGGGGGTCTTGATTTAAAATCCAGAGTCTGCCCAGTCTGAGACCGAGATGAGACCTTCAAAAAGTGGTCTCCAGACCCAGACCGATGTGGAGTACTACAACTCTACAGTTTAGAACTTTAAACTGTGATATATTTATCAGACTGTAACTATAAAACATTGTGCAGCGATCAGTAAAGAAGCATCAATAACACAGATTCATCAACCAATGAGTGATCTGAACCCGTCCTCTTTGACTCGGAGGTCGGCGCAGTAATTCCTGTGCTCCAGAACGTCCTTTGGGTCTTGCCTGATTGAACCTGTCTGAGCTCGTTCTCTGAGAGCAGCGACCTCCATCTGTGGAGCGGCTGGAGCAGATTCATCTAGCCCTCGTTTCCAGCTTCAACATTAAATTGGAACGATGAATTCATAAGAATGAAACCCGTAGGATGTACCGTCTCGTTTTGAACGGCATCCCAACAGAAAACTAATTTACAAAATGAAAATAAAGTGATGACCAGATGAATGTTTCTGGATCGTTCTGAAGGAAGAATGTGTCGTTTTTTTCTGCTCAGATTTGAGTGAAGACGATAAACTCTTGAATGCATGACACAGAATATTTAGACATTTAAACTCTACAACAAGAACACAGGAACAACCAGACAGAGCTAAAACATCACAACGTTTAACAGGTGAGATCATAACTCTACACCGGTCTCTGACTCTACAGGGGCAGACTACAGACCAGGTCCAACAGTACCTGGAGACGTGGGCGGGGACAAACTCCTGACCCAACATCTCAAAGTCAGTCACACTGCATCGTGGGTAAAAAGAAATACACGTCAGAATCAGACACAGGAGATCAGGGAACCCGAGAAGTGGTTCAGATAGAAGTGATTGTACCCGACCTAAAAAGCCTCTGCATGTTTCTAATAAGCTCCACGAGCAGAAACGTGCTCAAACTAGGATCAATATTGGAGATGCTTTTGAAAAATGGAGAGAGGTTAGAACACAGAAAGGTTTACAGACCCATGCAGAGCTGGATAAACACTGAAGCTTCAGAGTCCACCACATGGTGACCTGAGTGAGGGGAGGGGGGGGACAGCTCTCTATGATGTTTAGAATTTAGACTGCAGTACACATTTTAAACACCAGGGGTCAGAGTTACATACTGCTCCTTTAAACTGTGTAGTTTTAAATTAATGCAGCTCATTGACTCTTAAAATAAAACATTTTGTTTCACCTGCACACACACACACACACACACACACACACACACACACACACACACACACACACACACACACACACACACACACACACACACACACACACACACACACACACACACACACACACACACACACACACACACACACACACACACACACACAGAGTGTTACCGGCTGTGTTGGCGAGCTTTATGAAACGGGCTGTTGACACAGAGAACACTCCGTCTGAATCGAGGGAAGCGCAGAGCGAGGAAGAGGAGGACGACGGGCACGATGAAGAGGAAGATGATGAGCAGGGCCACTCGCACCGGATCAGACTCTGACACAGAGGGGGAGGGGCCAAACAGAGTCAGTGTTATCGTCCACACAGCGTGTGTGTGTGTGTGTGTGTGTGTGTGTGTGTGTGTGTGTGTGTGTGTGTGTGTGTGTGTGTGAGAGAGTGTGTGTGTGTTTGTTACCTCCAGCAGCTCTGGCCGGCCCGCTGTCCACGCTGCCTCCGTGACCTGAGAACCTGCATTCAGGAGGAGCCCAGCCCACCTCACAGTGACAGTTTTTATTACTGTTACACACCTGGACACACACACACACACACACACACACACACACACACACACACACACACACACACACACACACACACACACACACACACACACACACACACACACACACACACACACACACACACACACACACACACACACACACACCAGCAGGGATGAACATTAGAGAAAATATTTGTCGCAGTATGTCAGGAATATCAGGAGAATGTCAGGAGCAGTCCTCCTGTGACGAACAGCTGTTGTAAACATTATGCATCTGTAACATAAAAAAAGTATCCTGATACAAAGTTTGGACCTTAACATTTTAATTCATCGTTCACTGAGCTGTAAAATCCCAAAGGTTGTCCACTCACCCCGTGACCATTACACTTCCTGCGACATTCATCCACACCAAACACCGACACGTCCTGACACTTCTGGTTCAAACAGGCCTGACACACAAACACAACAGAGAATATTTACAGTGTGTATTACTCAGATCAGATGATTCACTTCTCTTCTCCTTATTTGGTTTCAAGGCGCTGGCTGACCTTGCCGGGGCTGCAGGCGGTGCCCTGGGCCACGGTGGCGGGATCTGACACGTCGTCTCCCAGGTGGAAGAAGGTTCCTCTGCAGACCAGGTCGCTGTAGTTAAATTTGACCTTAGTGGTGAGAATCTCTGCGTTGGTGCCCAGCAGGGGGCGCTGCCTCCCGCCCTGACACTGGATCCTGCCACAATGAACATCACTGCAACACAACAAACAAGACGATGAACATCAACCAAACACAACAAACAATAACACTGCTCATGGTACAGTCTCTAAACGTACTATGGGAGGTAGAGCCTTCAGTTATCAGGCCTGCTCGTGGTACAGTCTCTAAACGTACTATGGGAGGTAGAGCCTTCAGTTATCAGGCCTGCTCGTGGTACAGTCTCTAAATGTACTATGGGAGGTAGAGCCTTCAGTTATCAGGCCTGCTCGTGGTACAGTCTCTAAATGTACTATGGGAGGTAGAGCCTTCAGTTATCAGGCCTGCTCGTGGTACCTACAGTCTCTAAATGTACTATGGGAGGTAGAGCCTTCAGTTATCAGACCTGCTCGTGATACCTACAGTCTCTAAATGTACTATGGGAGGCAGAGCCTTCAGTTATCAGGCCTGCTCGTGGTACAGTCTCTAAATGTACTATGGGAGGTAGAGCCTTCAGTTATCAGGCCTGCTCATGGTACCTACAGTCTCTAAATGTACTATGAGAGGTAGAGCCTTCAGTTATCAGGCCTGCTCGTGGTACAGTCTCTAATTGTACTATGAGAGGTAGAGCCTTCAGTTATCAGGCCTGCTCGTGGTACGGTCTCTAAACGTACTATGGGAGGTAGAGCCTTCAGTTATCAGACCTGCTCGTGGTACCTACAGTCTCTAAATGTACTATGGGAGGTAGAGCCTTCAGTTATCAGGCCTGCTCGTGGTACCTACAGTCTCTAAATGTACTATGGGAGGTAGAGCCTTCAGTTATCAGGCCTGCTCGTGGTACCTACAGTCTCTAAATGTACTATGGGAGGTAGAGCTTCAGTTATCAGGCCTGCTCGTGGTACCTACAGTCTCTAAATGTACTATGGGAGGTAGAGCCTTCAGTTATCAGACCTGCTCGTGGTACAGTCTCTAAATGTACTATGGGAGGTAGAGCCTTCAGTTATCAGGCCTGCTCGTGGTACAGTCTCTAAATGTACTATGGGAGGTAGAGCCTTCAGTTATCAGGCCTGCTCGTGGTACTGTCTCTAAATGTACTATGGGAGGTAGAGCCTTCAGTTATCAGACCTGCTCGTGGTACCTACAGTCTCTAAATGTACTATGGGAGTTAGAGCCTTCAGTTATCAGGCCTGCTCGTGGTACCTACAGTCTCTAAATGTACTATGGGAGGTAGAGCCTTCAGTTATCAGGCCTGCTCGTGGTACCTACAGTCTCTAAATGTACTATGGGAGTTAGAGCCTTCAGTTATCAGGCCTGCTCGTGGTACCTACAGTCTCTAAATGTACTATGGGAGGTAGAGCCTTCAGTTATCAGGCCTTCTCGTGGTACCTACAGTCTCTAAATGTACTATGGGAGGTAGAGCCTTCAGTTATCAGGCCTTCTCGTGGTACCTACAGTCTCTAAATGTAATATGGGAGGTAGAGCCTTCAGTTATCAGGCCTGCTCGTGGTACAGTCTCTAATTGTACTATGAGAGGTAGAGCCTTCAGTTATCAGGCCTGCTCGTGGTACAGTCTCTAAATGTACTATGGGAGATAGAGCCTTCAGTTATCAGAGCCCTCTCCTTTGGGGTCATCTACCAGTCAGGATCCAGGAGGCAGACACCCTCACTACTTTTAGCAGGCTTAAAACTTTCCTTTTTGATAAAGCTTATAGTTAGGATGGCTCAGACTTGGACCAGCTCCTAGATAAGCCGCTATAGGCTCTGTGTGTACTCACGTGTTCCCACAGGGGATGTAGGAGCCGTTGGTTAGCTGACCACAGTTTCCAAATTTGTTTCCTTGTTTGTTGACTGAAGAGAAACAGACAGGCGGAGCGCTGGTCGCATCTGAGGGACAGATAAAGAGATGTTGTCTCAGCATTGACTGGTTTAGTCTCAGTATGAACTGGTTATAGTTGTAGTGGTTAATGTATAAACTGGTGTCTTACTGGGTCCCCACAGCATCTGGCACTGAGTGTTCATGCTGGCACAGACTCCTCCGTAGCAGTAGGAGGCGCTGTCCTCGCAGGGCTCCCCGTTCTGCAGGAAGACGTTGGGGGGGCAGTAGGGGGAGGAGCCTGTGCAGAACTCGGGAAGGTCACACTCACCAAGCGGGTCACGACACACCGAACCCGCAGACCGAAGCTGAGGAGGGAGGCGAGGTTAGATAGACATTTTGCAGGAACATTAATAATGTGTGTGTGTGTGTGTGTGTGTGTGTGTGTGTGTGTGTGTGTGTGTGTGTGTGTGTGTGTGTGTGTGTGTGTGTGTGTGTGTGTGTGTGTGTGTGTGTGTGTGTGTGTGTGTGTGTGTGTGTGTGTGTGTGTGTGTGTGTGTGTGTGTGTGTGTGTGTGTGTGTTTATCCGACCTTGCAGTCCTGGCAGCAGATGCCGTCAGATGAGCACTGAGCTCCAGGAACCAGCTTACAGGTGGAGGCGTTACAGCAGGGATCCTCACACTCCTGACCAATCAGAGCGCAGCAGCACATAAACAGGAAGTGAAAAACAAACCTACAAATCGCTCAAACAGATTCCCAGTGATTACTCAGCAGGATTTAGACGCTGAAATTTGGTTGAAATGTAAAGTAAAGACGTCTAAGAAGGAATTTCGAATATTTTTCAAATATTTTATTTTGATATGTTCATGTGAGTGTCGAAAGAAGGACAGAAAATTTTATTTTAACAGCATTTCTCTAAAATAATTTAGCAGCGGCGGGTAGAATCAATTCTTTGCATAAACCTAATTGTAACATATTTAATGACTTATAAAAAAAAGCTCATGTTCACCTCCAGCAGGCCGCAGTCACACTCCTCTCCTTTCTCCACGTACAGGTTTCCACAGCGCGGTCCTCCCAGCAGGCGGTCAGGCTGCGGCACGTTGAACAGACACATCCCGCCGCCGTGCAGCAGGCTGGTGGACAGATCTGCAGCGCTGCAGCTGCTGAACTGCTGCCCCGGCATGAACCTGAGGGTCGGAGGTCACAGGTGGGCAGGTGTTAGAGAGAGGAGGAAACGACTCACAGAACTGCAACTAAAAAACAGTGTTGAAAAAGATATTCTGATCCTGTAGTTTTTTTCATTGTTCTGACCCGGTCGAGGGTTCCATGATACATCCTCCGAGCCGCGGTTCGTTCTGACAGGCGCAGCGACGCTCTGCGGTGTCGTGACTCATCCCCAGGTTGTGACCGAGCTCGTGAGCAACGGTGGAGGCCACGCCCAGCACGCTAACCAGGTGATCCTAAGAGAGACGGGGAGGTGTAAAAAACACGATGAACCTCTTCTTCATGAACCATCAACTGAACATGTGGACGCACATCTGCCAGACCGATTTCTAATGTACACATATCGCCGTGTAGTCCGGCCTCTGTGAGGCCACGCCGACCAGCGACCCCAGAGACTGAACGCCCTTTAAGAATCAGGACTCACCACGTTGACTCCACCCGAGCGGTCTCTGGAGCACATGGACGACTGAGACGCCATCCCCACCGTGGTGCCGTCAAAAGATCCGCCCCTGTGAAGTAAACAGAGCCCGTTACAAACAGAACCAGAATCTGAAACTTCTAATGGCCGTCAGGTCACGGTCCTCCTACATGACGAGCTGGGCGTTGTCATGGCGAAGGCGGGGCAGCAGCTCTCTGGCTCTCCAATCCAGGAAGTTGGTGAGGGTGTCAGTGGGATTCTTCTCCACCCGGATCTTATCGCGGTCGCTCCAGATCTCCAGACCGGTCAGCGCCACGCGCACGTTCAGAGGACGGTAGAACTGAAACAGAGTGCAGAGATGGCTCGGTTCTTCTTCTTCTTGTTCTTCTTCTTCTACACATTTAAACTGTTTATATGAACGCTGAGGTCAGAGGTCACAGATCTCACCCAGTCAACCTGGTTGGCCACGTCCAGCATGCGGTAGATGATGGTCTTATTGTTCTTCTGGTAGTTCAGGAACTGTGGGGAGCAGACAGGATTTTAATGTTTGGTGCTGCCACCTTGTGTCAGAAACTGGTACTGCAGCATTAATAACATGACTCGATCATTCTGAATCTACTGGAGATGAAAACAAACTGACCTCTTGGTGGTCGGCCACCAGCACCAGCTCGATGTATTTGGTCTCTGACAGGATGTCTCTCTTCCACTGCAGACGGAGCACAGAGAGGTCAGAGGTCAGAAACTGTCACAGCCAATCACAGACTGTGTACCAGCAGAAGTGCCTTAAAGCTGCATTCTTACTAATGTCCAGCAGGGGGCGACTCCACTGGTTGTTCCTACTTGTCAGCTGATTTATTCCCTCAGAAAACATTTCCTAACAAGTTTATGATCTCTGTCTTCTTCAACACAGCATGACGTTCATTTAGTAAATTATGGTCCAAGTCATAGAGACCAGAAAGAGGGGGAGGATTTAGGGGCGGGGCTACCTGGGATTGACAAATCACAAACATTACCAAGTAAAAAATGTCTGACTCAGAGTTTGATTGAACTGGAAGAAGCTCTGAAGAGATGACTGTCCGTGTTTTCAGTAAGAATGATTTCTTTAAGGAAGTGACCATATTTGGAAAAGAGGGAGGAGCTGGAGAGGAGCGAGGAAAACCACGTGGGGGAACCCACAGTAAGGCTTCATTACAACTGAAATAATCAATTTCAGGATTTTCTGAAATGATATAGAAGTAGGAATAAATATATTTCAATGCAGTGATGAATCGATTCTTTTTATTCAGCTACAGCTGCAGAATGCTGACCAAGTTAGCATTACTGTTAGTAGACAATTAACCATTTGCAAGCTCCTCCCCCCTTTTCCCGCTCTGTCCTCGTACTAAACAAGATGGGGATGGAAAAATACTAAACTGGAGGTCTGAAAAGATCTGCTCCAGTAAATGTTTCTGTTATTTTCTGACCAGATGTTTGAATGCTTTCTTCTGAGGACTCAGGTGTTGATGGGCTGCTTTAAAAAACTACAATACCCATGAGCCTCAGCTGCTGACGAGGAGGAAAACTGATCCAGAATTTAAAAGTGAGCTCAACTTTCATCTATAAAGTCTGTAATCTCTGTAATGTTCAACATTAAGCAGACTGTAAAGCTCTCTGATTGGATGTCTGTTGGTGAAATGCACCCTGGGAGTCGTAGTTGACTTCTCTCCTTTAGTGTTTATGTCCTCAGACTTCTTGTCGATACTCTCTGACACGGCTGATCGTTTCTGTCTCACCCGGTGTGTGTGTGTGGAGCTGTGGATCGGGGGAACAGCGGTGTGAGAGACTCCGCAGCCTCCAGCACTGTCGCCCTCTAGAGGGCTGGTGGAGAACAGCAGGTGGACTCCATCTTCATCATCTACACCTCCTCCTCCGCTCCCTCCACTCCCGTCTGCTCGGCCCTCCTCCGCCCCCTGGTGGTGAGGGTGGTCCTCCTGAGGCTTCAGCTCAAAGCTCAGGGTGGAGTTGATGGCGATGATGCCGCTGCAGGAGGACAAACAGGAAGTCTCACTTATTACCTGCACAGAGCTCTTTGAGCTTTATCGTCTCTTTGCAGTTCACCTGTACAGGTTTTAACTACTTATTCTTTCTGTGCCATTGTAATCAAAAACTCTGGACTTTTGGGTTCAGTTTTTAGTCGGCCAACAGCTTCCAGCTCATAATCTACTTACAGCTTTATTCCTTTATTTATAAACATTCTGATCCAAATGACAAACAGGTCCCAAATAAGTCTCTGAGGTTGTATCACTCAATCCCTCCTCCCTCCTCACTCTTTAGAGAGTTATAAGTAGTGGACTATATAGTGCACTCAGATACTACTCGCCTACTCGCCAGACATCAACCGTGGCGTCATCACTGTCGCACATCTCAAATGTGCAGCTTAACGTCAGCAAAGGATCAATAATAACGATAAATACTGAAAGAGGATCACTGATAACTGATATACTGAGTTTACTTTCACAAGACTGTTAAAGGAAGAATGTGTCGACTCTCTGATCCAGTAGGTGTCGCCCTTGAGCTCCAGCATGAATCCAAAACAAACTGCTGTTAGGCCACGCCTCCTCCATACTGAAGACACACCTCCAACCCTCCCTACACTCACATGAAGGAGTTTAGCGTGAGCGGTGTCAAAATTGTCCTAAGCTCCAGCTGCTGCCTGTGTCCTGCATTGTTGTGTTAGCATGCTAATGTTAGCGCTCTTTAGTTAGCTCGTAGCTTCACATTGTTGTGTTAGCATGCTAATGTTAGCGCTCTGTAGTTAGCTCGTAGCTTCACATTTCATGTAAACTGACACAGAATGAGCGTGATCTAAAAACTCTTACTAACATCCAAATAATCAGTGAGTATGTTCTTCTTCTTCTCTCTAGTTCTTGACTAAAACAGCTTTTATACACAAGGGGAGGAGCCGGCCGTCCCGTCCATGTAAACACGGCTCTGACAACAACACAGCCAGCGGGACTCGAGCTTCTCCCTCATTGTAGACAGTCAGGACTCAGAGACACATTTACACAGGACACACTTTATGATTTATTGATGTGGAACATGTTGAACATTCTTCCTTTCAAAACAAGAAATAAATTGAAAATATGAAATAATTTATAAATATTTTGACAAACTGTATTTTTGCACCAGACACACCATCTTGTGTCTGTCATCATCATGAGGACAAACGAGCGTCACTCTGTGAAGTTTAGAGTCGACCTCGTGCGCCCTGCTGTGTCCTGACTCTTTCTCTGAGGACACGTTCAGAAAAGAATCAGATCCATTAAATATGAAGAAAAGTCGTCAGATCTCGAGGTATTTATATATCAGATGGGAAGGAGCACGGTTTGGTCTAACGTAGCGTCAGTAACCACGGGGGGCGGGGCTTGACAGAGGGTCTATTAGCCTGGTTAAACAGAAGTTGTCCCCTCATGACGTCCCTGACCTGAAAACTACAAAGTGGACGGCGTTCTGCTCACGTGGTCGCTCTGCAACCTTTAATCCTGCTGCAGCGTCACACCGAGGTCTCTGAGTGATCCGGATCAGGTCGGACCTGCAGGGGGACTCTGATGTGGTCGCTCACGTTTTCTGCTGAGCTCAGCTCACAAACACAAAGACCTGAACGGCTGTAAACCCTGGACTCAAACGGGATCAGAGGTTTGGAGGTTTTAAGAGATTAATGTTTTTGAAGCTGTCAGAGACGCCGTCCTCATGTTTTAATCCTGTTAACACATATTTGTACTTTTAATGTTAGCGTTAGCTGCTTTTCAAATTAAAATTCCTCTTCCTGTGCTCTCAATCCCGTGTCCCGGTCCGGGTCAGAATGTGGGGTTATGAAATCGGATGTTGAAAGAGGGAAATGTTTCAAAACTTCAGAACGCCTTCCAGTGAAGGTTTTTATAGATTTACAGTAAAACGTCACAGAAGACGCAGAGTGTGTGCACGCACAGCGACACGCCTCAGGAGGTTTATTATATGAAGATCAACTTTATATTAAACTTTATAGAGCAGCCTGATGAAGGTCACAAGCCGAAAGGCATCGCTCCAATAAAGTTTAATAAAGTTGATGTCAATGTGCTGCTGCAGCTTTCTGAACTCAGTAAAAATCAAAAACCAAAATAGTTAAGAAAAACTAACTAAGCTGTTTTCTGTCTTTCAATCTCAGCTGACAACACAGAGAGAGTGTGTGTGTGTGTGTGTGTGTGTGTGTGTGTGTGTGTGTGTGTGTGTGTGTGTGTGTGTGTGTGTGTGTGTGTGTGTGTGTGTGTTCAGGTGACTGACCGGAGTCCGGAGCAGGTGCTCAGAGCGACTCTGGACTGGGGAATCCTCGAACGTTGCCGTGGTAATAACAATGAGTCTGCACACAAACACAAACATGTTTCACAGCTGGTGACACACACACACACACACACACACACACACACACACACACACACACACACACACACACACACACACACACACACACACACACACACACACACACACACACACACACACACACACACACACACACACACACACACACACACACACACACACGGTGTGTTCACTGACTCACCACAGGGTGGGCCCTCACAGAGACACCGGTGCCGTTGGGCAGGTAGTAGAAGACGTTTGGCGGTTTGGGCAGCAGGTCACTGCAGAGACAAGACACACACACAACCCTGTTTATGATGCGTTCAAGGACCCTTAGGTCTGAACTGTGATGAAGAATACACCATCTAATATAGAGAACACACACAAAGGGTTAAATGTTCCCCTAACTCACACAGTGATGTTTTTATTTAACTGCATCTGCTGAGAGTTTCACCGCAGTATTTAGAAATACTGATTATGTAATGATTTAAGAAAGCGTGTTCATGATGTGTTCAATAACACTCTGTTAATCACACTCACTGGTTCTTCTCCAGGTCCAGCAGGAAGAGTCGGCCCCTCACCTCCAGCCCACAATGCAGCCTGTCGGGGTGACCGTCCTGAAACAGGAACAACCACACAGTCAAGAGGTTAAAAGACGAGATGGAGGATTACCGGGGACGTTACAGTTTCACCATCGCTGCTTTCTCTAAACGCCATCTTTCCTCAAACCTTCGTTTCATCAGCATTTGAACTAAAGATATTAAAACTAATTACAGGGGCGCGCTGGTGGCGCAATGGTTAGGGCGCACGTCCCATGTGTTGAGACTCTCGTCTCGAGCGGTAGGCCCGGGTTCACTTCCACCCATGGCCCCTTTCCACATGTCATTCCCCGCTCTCTCTCTCTGGTTTCAGACTCTATCCACTGTCCTCTCTCTCTCTGGTTTCAGACTCTATCCACTGTCCTCACTCTCTCTGGTTTCTGACTCTATCCACTGTCCTCTCTCTCTCTCTGGTTTCTGACTCTATCCACTGTCCTCTCTCTCTCTCTGGTTTCTGACTCTATCCACTGTCCTCTCTCTCTCTCTGGTTTCAGACTCTATCCACTGTCCTCTCTCTCTCTGGTTTCTGACTCTATCCACTGTCCTCTCTCTCTCTCTGGTTTCTGACTCTATCCACTGTCCTCTCTCTCTCTCTCTGGTTTCTGACTCTATCCACTGTCCTCTCTCTCTCTGGTTTCTGACTCTATCCACTGTCCTCTCTCTCTCTCTCTGGTTTCTGACTCTATCCACTGTCCTCTCTCTCTCTGGTTTCTGACTCTATCTACTGTCCTCTCTCTCTCTGGTTTCTGACTCTATCCACTGTCCTCTCTCTCTCTGGTTTCTGACTCTATCCACTGTCCTCTCTCTCTCTCTGGTTTCAGACTCTATCCACTGTCCTCTCTCTCTGGTTTCAGACTCTATCCACTGTCCTCTCTCTCTCTGGTTTCTGACTCTATCCACTGTCCTCTCTCTCTCTGGTCTCTGACTCTATCCACTGTCCTCTCTCTCTCTCTGGTTTCTGACTCTATCCACTGTCCTCTCTCTCTCTCTGGTTTCTGACTCTATCCACTGTCCTCTCTCTCTCTCTGGTTTCAGACTCTATCCACTGTCCTCTCTCTCTCTGGTTTCAGACTCTATCCACTGTCCTCTCTCTCTCTGGTCTCTGACTCTATCCACTGTCCTCTCTCTCTCTCTGGTTTCAGACTCTATCCACTGTCCTCTCTCTCTCTCTGGTTTCTGACTCTATCCACTGTCCTCTCTCTCTCTCTGGTTTCTGACTCTATCCACTGTCCTCTCTCTCTCTGGTTTCAGACTCTATCCACTGTCCTCTCTCTCTCTCTGGTTTCAGACTCTATCCACTGTCCTCTCTCTCTCTGGTTTCTGACTCTATACACTGTCCTCTCTCTCTCTGGTTTCAGACTCTATCCACTGTTCTCTCTCTCTCTGCATTAAAGGCACGAAAAGCCCAAAAAATAAATCTTTAAAAAAAAAACTAATTACAGAGACTAAAGGAAAACAGAGATCGTTTTTTAATAAATATCGTTTTTATTTGTTCCCGTCATTTCCTTTTTTAAGTCCATAAAGAAGTGGGCGGGGCTTAGCACATCCGTTATCCAATCAATGTGTTTTCCTGTCTGTTGGTGAAGCTGCTCTTTGAAGAGGAGAGACTTCCTGTCCAATACCTCAAAGCTTTCTCCTCTCTGTGTGTGTGTGTGTGTGTGTGTGTGTGTGTGTGTGTGTGTGTGTGTGTGTGTGTGTGTGTGTGTGTGTGTGTGTGTTCCGAGAGCGAATGGCGATTCTAGAATCTGTTGGTTCCCTCCAATCAGCATTCATCGCCATTATGTTCAAAATGATTGGACACCAACGGAAACTTTAAGTGACCAACTTAAGTCTTCACAGGACGCTTAGCAATGACTGCTGTCAGACGGGGGCCCCCTGAAGGACGTTTCCTACAGTCATTTAAAATTTGGACATTCTGAGCCACTGCTGTGGTTTAACATCTGTCGGACCCGAAGAAGCCCCCCAGGGACCCCTACTGGTCTGGCGCCCAAAGCTGTTCCCTGTTGACAAGCAGAACCTCTGCCTAGAACTAAAACAGAGTTTGTGGGGTCCATGAAACAGAACCTTTAACTAACATCTGGAGTGATTCAGTGACGTCTGTCTGTACGGGGACGTGACCTCTGGAGGTATTTAGGGCGGAGTGCTCCTTTAAAATGAGCAGAATTCCCCTCCGAGGCGTGTTTGTTTTCCCCACCCTCTCTGGACTTTGTGCTGGGGAGGGGTCAGATCATTATGTAGCAGGATGGGGGGGGGGGGCCTGAGTCACGATGGGCGGGTCTGACTGTCGTTGAATTCTTTAACCTCAAACCCAGCAGAGACCGGGACTCTGACCTCTGACCTCACAGCAATGTACAGTAACGCAGCCAGGAGGCGTTCACTGACCTGTCCTCTGTGTAGGACTTTGTCAACTTGTGTTACAAGCAGGTCGTAAAATAAAACCAATTACAGTGTCCCTACAAAAAGCAGGTAAATCCAGTAAATCTCTCTAATAGTGTTTCATAACAACAAGATTTAAAGGAGGACATGATCCAGCTGACCCGCTTTCTTCAGTCCAACACCGAGGACCAAAACATTTAACACTCGCCCTGCTGCTGCTGACAGCCTCCACTCACAATCCTGTTTGTTCACACTTAAAGTGGGGAACATTTTTCAGTTGCATTCCGGCTTTTTGTCATTTCCTGAAGAAGTCTGAAAATATTATATGTGTCAGGTCTTTAAAATGCAGAGTCCATGCTCACTCAGGTCACCATGTGGTGGACTCTGAAGCTTCAGTGTTTATCCAGCTCTGCATGGGTCTGTAAACCTTTCTGTGTTCTAACCTCTCTCCATTTTTCAAAAGCATCTCCAATATTGATCCTAGTTTGAGCACGTTTCTGCTCGTGGAGCTTATTAGAAACATGCAGAGGCTTTTTAGGTCGGGTACAATCACTTCTATCTGAACCACTTCTCTTGACCGCTTCCATCGCTGCAACACCTGTTGACCTGATAACTGCTCTCATATCTGACAAACCGAGGGGCGTCCAAAACGGCCGTGTGTGGGGGTGTGTCTTAAAAGCGCCTACCTTCTCTGGTCCAAACAAATCCAGAGCATTCAGGAGCAGAATGTAAAGTTAGAAGGAGGACATACTGGCTGCTGCATTGTTGTCAGAGAAGCCAGCGGTATCATCACTCTCTCTCCTCCTGATTAAACTATTAAAAGGAGCGAGCGAGTACAACACAAGACTTTGAATGACACTTTTTTCAGGGATGCAAAATATGGTTGATTATTGTCATTGGCAAAATCCCCAAAAATGTAGATATTATTTTTCATGATTACAGGATCACATCCACTGAATTCTTCTGATTTCATTTTGTGGTTGAGGTTTTGTAGCTCCACACAGTGACTCCAATCTTTGCTCTCAGACGGACCAATCAGAGGTCAGGAGGACAGTGGCTGTATGTAAACAGAGGGAAACTAAACATTTCAGGTTTGACTGTTTTTATGCTCCTGCAGCTCTGATGTCTTCATGTTTCATCACATCTCTCTCTCTGTTTTACAGCCTCTCTCGCCCACTCTCACCATCTGCTTCACATCCTCCCCCCCTCTACTTGTTGTTCCCCTTCCTCTCATAAACCCTCTCTCTCTGTAAGGTGAGGTCATGTCTCTCGCCCCAGTCTCCAGATGATGTCAGAGCTGCAGAGTTTGGGCGAGGCTCCGAGCGGTCGACCACAGAAGAAGAAGAAGAAGAAGAAGAAGAAGACGTGACTCTGCTGCTCCAATCAACACCTCACGTCCTGAAAGCAGGAAGTGGGTTTTTAAAGCCAAACAGACTTCAGACTGTGATGAAGCTGTGCTTTCTATCAGCTGCAGTTTGAATGTTTTAAAGATCTTTGGAAGAACTTCAACACTTTCTTGAACTACAGATTGTTCTGAGACTTCATGTTTGTTGTCCAGCTCAAGGAGAGGCTAAACTTTTGTCACCAAATGTCTAAATATGAACTTTTAAACTGATTTTACAGGATTCACAGCGTGTGATTCCTTAAGAGCTGCAGGTGAACTCTGAATGTCTTCTCGCTGTATTTAAGGTCACTCCTTCCAACAGCCCGCGAAAAAACAGTCTGAGTGAAGTCGGGTAGAGTCGGTGTGAGACGGGATTTTATCGATAGTTTAGGGCGCGCTCACACGAGGCAATCCGTACCGTTCCTGAGCATGCTTCACCCCTGACTTGTGTGAGCGCTTCGTTCACTTCCTCGGCTTGCCTCAGCTGGAAGAGGTTTGAGTCCACCTGTCGTTTAAACTGAGCACGCTTCATGATCGCATAAAGTCATGCATGTGTTGTATAAGAGGTAACCGTGCTCTGACCCGGTTAGTCCTGGAGCGGTGTGAGCGCAGGCCAGCGGCAGTACGAGACAACTGGGCCGAGTGTGAGTGCGCCCTGAAATAAGAGATGTAATCGTGCTTCATGTTTATATCTGTCGGTCTTTAGGTGAATCAAAATGAGACGCTGTATGAAACCCTGCAGCAGAGACCAGGAGGCAGGCGGCAGGCGGCGTGCGGCGTGCGGCGTGCGGCGCTCTTCTTGTTCACGGCTTTAACAGAACAAAGAGTAAAGGGAGGAGTTTTCGGTGGAATGCTCTTTAGCTCTTTTCTGCTTTCTCCTCGTTTCCTGTCGGCTGGGTGGAGTCAGGGTGGGGGGGATTTTACAGGAAGTGAACTCAGAGCTTCAGTCAGCTGCACAGGAAGTGCCCTCCCCCCTCAGTGGGGGTGCAGGAAGCTGCTGGTGAAAGCTGTCAGCGCTCCAGCTTCCTCTCCGCCTGTTATTACAGTAATCCTGGAGGAGGGGGTGACTCCTCAAAGCTGCTCCTGGTTTCCTCCTGCAGAGCGCCTGTTTAGAGACCGGATCCTGTTCCTGTTCCTGAGGGGTCACTCGTCTTCAGGGTTTAAGTCCCTGACGGCAGGAGCACATCAGACCAGTTACAGACCAGAACCAGAGCAGTTACAGACCAGTAACAAACCAGTAACAGACCAGAACCAGAGCAGTTACAGACCAGTAACAGACCAGTAACAAACCAGTAACAGACCAGAACCAGAGCAGTTACAGACCAGTAACAAACCAGTAACAGACCAGAACCAGCGCAGTTACAGACCAGTAACAGACTAATAAAAGACCAGTAACAGACAGTAACAGACCAGTAACAGACCAGTAACAGACTAGTAAAAGACCAGTAACAGACCAGTAACAAACCAGTAACAGACCAGAACCAGAGCAGTTACAGACCAGTAACAGACTAATAAAAGACCAGTAACAGACAGTAACAAACCAGTAACAGACAGTAACAGACCAGTAACAGACCAGTAATAGACCAGTAACAGACAGTAACAGACCAGTAATAGACCAGTAACAGACCAGTAATAGACCAGTAACAAACCAGTAACAGACCAGTAATAGACCACAGACAGTAATAGACCAGTAACAGACCAGTAACAGACCAGTAATAGACCAGTAACAGACCAGTAATAGACCAGTAACAAACCAGTAACAGACCAGTAATAGACCACAGACCAGTAATAGACCAGTAACAGACCAGTAATAGACCAGTAACAGACCAGTAACAGACCAGTAATAGACCAGTAACAGACCAGTAATAGACCAGTAACAAACCAGTAACAGACCAGTAATAGACCACAGACCAGTAATAGACCAGTAATAGACCAGTAACAGACCAGTAACAGACTAGTAAAAGACCAGTAATAGACCAGTAACAGACCAGTAATAGACCAGTAACAAACCAGTAACAGACCAGTAATAGACCACAGACAGTAATAGACCAGTAACAGACCAGTAACAGACCAGTAATAGACCAGTAACAGACCAGTAATAGACCAGTAACAAACCAGTAACAGACCAGTAATAGACCACAGACCAGTAATAGACCAGTAACAGACCAGTAATAGACCAGTAATAGACCAGTAACAGACCAGTAATAGACCAGTAACAAACCAGTAACAGACCAGTAATAGACCACAGACCAGTAATAGACCAGTAATAGACCAGTAACAGACCAGTAATAGACCAGTAACAGATCAGAACCAGAGCAGTTACAGACCAGTAACAAACCAGTAACAGACCAGAACCAGCGCAGTTACAGACCAGTAACAGACTAATAAAAGACCAGTAACAGACCAGTAATAGACCAGTAACAGACCAGTAACAGACTAGTAAAAGACCAGTGTTTAATAGTCCAGTATACCAGTATGACAGGAGGAAACCATCATGAAAACACCAGTAACACTTTTGTAGAGCATCAAGAAACCAGTATCCAGCCAGTCTAATACCAGTAATAAACCAGTTTAATACCAGTAATAAACCAGTCTAATACCAGTAATAAACATGTTTAATACCAGTAATAAACCAGTCTAATACCAGTAATAAACATGTTTAATACCAGTAATAAACCAGTCTAATACCAGTAATAAACCAGTCTAATACCAGTAATAAACCAGTCTAATACCAGTAATAAACCAGTCTAATACCAGTAATAAACCAGTCTAATACCAGTAATAAACCAGTTTAATACCAGTAATAAACCAGTCTAATACCAGTAATAAACATGTTTAATACCAGTAATAAACCAGTCTAATACCAGTAATAAACATGTTTAATACCAGTAATAAACCAGTTTAATACCAGTAATAAACCTGTTTAATACCAGTAATAAACCAGTCTAATACCAGTAATAAACCTGTTTAATACCAGTAATAAACATGTTTAATACCAGTAATAAACCTGTTTAATACCAGTAATAAACCAGTCTAATACCAGTAATAAACATGTTTAATACCAGTAATAAACCAGTTTAATACCAGTAATAAACCAGTCTAATACCAGTAATAAACCAGTCTAATACCAGTAATAAACCAGTCTAATACCAGTAATAAACATGTTTAATACCAGTAATAAACCAGTCTAATACCAGTAATAAACATGTTTAATACCAGTAATAAACCAGTTTAATACCAGTAATAAACCAGTCTAATACCAGTAATAAACATGTTTAATACCAGTAATAAACCAGTCTAATACCAGTAATAAACATGTTTAATACCAGTAATAAACCAGTCTAATACCAGTAATAAACATGTTTAATACCAGTAATAAACCAGTTTAATACCAGTAATAAACCAGTCTAATACCAGTAATAAACATGTTTAATACCAGTAATAAACCAGTTTAATACCAGTAATAAACCAGTCTAATACCAGTAATAAACATGTTTAATACCAGTAATAAACCAGTTTAATACCAGTAATAAACCAGTCTAATACCAGTAATAAACCAGTCTAATACCAGTAATAAACCAGTCTAATACCAGTAATAAACCAGTCTAATACCAGTAATAAACCAGTCTAATACCAGTAATAAACCAGTTTAATACCAGTAATAAACCAGTCTAATACCAGTAATAAACATGTTTAATACCAGTAATAAACCAGTCTAATACCAGTAATAAACATGTTTAATACCAGTAATAAACCAGTTTAATACCAGTAATAAACCTGTTTAATACCAGTAATAAACCAGTCTAATACCAGTAATAAACCTGTTTAATACCAGTAATAAACATGTTTAATACCAGTAATAAACCTGTTTAATACCAGTAATAAACCAGTCTAATACCAGTAATAAACATGTTTAATACCAGTAATAAACCAGTTTAATACCAGTAATAAACCAGTCTAATACCAGTAATAAACATGTTTAATACCAGTAATAAACCAGTTTAATACCAGTAATAAACCAGTCTAATACCAGTAATAAACATGTTTAATACCAGTAATAAACCAGTCTAATACCAGTAATAAACATGTTTAATACCAGTAATAAACCAGTCTAATACCAGTAATAAACATGTTTAATACCAGTAATAAACCAGTCTAATACCAGTAATAAACATGTTTAATACCAGTAATAAACCAGTTTAATACCAGTAATAAACCAGTCTAATACCAGTAATAAACATGTTTAATACCAGTAATAAACCAGTTTAATACCAGTAATAAACCAGTCTAATACCAGTAATAAACATGTTTAATACCAGTAATAAACCAGTTTAATACCAGTAATAAACCAGTCTAATACCAGTAATAAACATGTTTAATACCAGTAATAAACCAGTCTAATACCAGTAATAAACCAGTCTAATACCAGTAATAAACCCGTTTAATACCAGTAATAAACCCGTTTAATACCAGTAATAAACCAGCTGCTGTTTGGCAATGACCCCTGGAGTGATGACATCATCACCGGTTTGGTCACATGACCCGTTGGCGGTTTGATTCCTCTCTCACCTGTAGAGCTTCAGCGAGGCTCCTCCTCTGTCCGTCCACCAGGATGAAGGGTCGAGTTTTCCCCAGCAGGGGGCGCCACCGCCTGTCCACACCTGAGGACAGAGAGAGAGCAGGTGAGCTGTCAGAAGACGCCACATACAGCAGGGGGCGCCACCGTCTGTCCACACCTGAGGACAGAAAGAGAGCAGGTGAGCTGTCAGAAGACGCCACATACAGCAGGGGGCGCCACCGTCTGTCCACACCTGAGGACAGAGAGAGAGCAGGTGAGCTGTCAGAAGACGCCACATACAGCAGGGGGCGCCACCGTCTGTCCACACCTGAGGACAGAGAGAGAGCAGGTGAGCTGTCAGAAGACGCCACATACAGCAGGGGGCGCCACCGCCTGTCCACACCTGAGGACAGAGAGAGAGCAGGTGAGCTGTCAGAAGACGCCACATACAGCAGGGGGCGCCACCGCCTGTCCACACCTGAGGACAGAGAGAGAGCAATTACATGCAGGAAGGGAGCCACAGGCTGGACTTGAACCCGGCCGTCCGCTTGGGGGACTCTAGCCTCCACAGATGGGGTGCAACCTAACTGCTGGTCCATCTGCGACCCCAGCACGTCTGTTATTTTTGACGTTTTATTGTGACAACCCAGACGGACCAACGTAGTGACGTCATAGAGTCATAGTGAAACTTTATTAGTTGATTTATTTTGATTTGGTTGATTCACAGATTGTAAAGGCTTCAGTCTCAGTGTCTAACTTTGTAGTGCAGTGTGATAACATGTAACAGGAGGAGGAGTATTTAGAGAAACTAAAACATTTGCAAACTGTCCGGTAATGGAACCATCGAGAAGCACGTGAACGCAGCATTAATATCTGTTACTTAAGAGAGAGGTTAATGATGTCTTTCACACCGTTACCGGGGAAACGGGCCCACGTTCAATCAGGTCAAAGATCACGGTCACACAGGGTGACACGGAGGAGATGACCGGATTAACTTTCACGTGCGTAAACACCTTCAGTTTAACCGTTACCTGTCACGGTGAGGGCGTCGGTACCGTCCGCCTGTCCGTCCACGGGCTGGACTGCTCCGTCCTGTGGTGCGTTCAGGGACCGGGCAGAGGTAAACACGTCCCGGCCGCTGAGCAGCAGCAGCGGCAGCAGCAGCACAGCAGCCCCGCTCATCCTCCCTGCGTCACCGGCAACCAGCCACAGGTCGCTGTCTGACCCCGTCCCGTCCCGTTACCTCACCGTGTCCGAGCACCGGGAGAGGCTCCACTGAAACTCCGTGATGCTCATTTCTCTGGTAACATCCACAGAGACAACCTGGTCAGAGCTGCTGCTGTACCGGGAAAGTGAACGTAAACTCGGCGTTACAGCAGCGGGCAGCCGGTCCTCCGGTCCTCCGGTCCTCCGGTCCTCCGGTCCTCCCCGCTATCTGCGCAGCTCCGGTTAAAACAGTTCCTCGAGCCTAAAAGTGCCGTTAACCCTGGTCGGAACGGCTCGGTTAACGTCGGCTGTGTTCGTGTGGACACCGAGGAGTTCGGTTTATCTGTCCCCGAGAGACCTTTAGTCAGTTAATTACCGGAGGACACCGGACCGCAAGAGTTTTAACCGGGAGTTAAGGGTGACGTCATTTAGCTTAGTCAAGCTAACCGGATCTAAGGAAAAAAAACAACAGTGTGACTCAGCTTTCAAAGTAAAAGTCATCCAGAGTCACGATAATCAAAACATTAAAACTTCGTTTTTATTTCAAAAATAAAGTTTGGAAAATTTTAGAATTATATTAAAAGAGTTAAATACATGAAGGAGAATATTTAATATTTATTTTATTTATTATTTTAATTTAGCAAATTAAAAATATCTCCAAACATATCTTATTTTAACATTAAAGAACATACACACCTGCATCAATATGATTCAATTCTTTGAGTATTTAAATGTTTTTCTTCCACAAAAATGAATTAAAACTTTTATTTATTTTCAAAAGTAAATATAAATGTGTGTGTGTGTGTGTGTGAGAGAGAGAGAACAAACTCACAGAAAATTCAAACATTTAACAGAATATTTTATTTTCTGTATCATCAACAAAGTTCAAAAACACCTTCATGAAAATGCCGTGGTTTTATACTTCAATTACATTTTATTTTATTTAACCAGGAGAAACAAACTCATAGAGATTAAAAATCAGTTTCTTTAGAGAGTGATGTTCGAGATCTGTCTCCAACATCTGTCGCCCCGTGTTTTAGAAAATGTATTATTGCTGTTTTCCATCGGGGCTAAATTAAAACAGATTCATTTTGGGGTTTTTCAAACATGACCTTTGTTTATAAATCTACCCTCCGTATCTCCCAGGATGCATCACACTTTACGGTTTCATTTCAACATTTCTCCTCCATCTTTTAAAGTTCATGAACCAACTTTTAAAACATTATGATTTGCACATAAGGTTTTTATAAACCAGGCTGCTGGTGGCGCAGTGGTTAGTGTGTGCACCCCACGTATGGAGGCTGTAGTCCTTCAAGCGGGTAGCCAGGGGTTCAAATCCCACCTGTGGCTCCTTTCCAGCATGTCATTCCTCACTCTCTCTCTCCCTGATTTCTGACTCTATCCCCCGTCCTATCTCTCCATTAAAGGTCCAAAAGTTAATAAACTGATGTTGTAAATGTTAATAATGAATCTACCTCTGAAAACGATCATAAAGAAATTCTCTTCCTGTTTTTATAAAAAACGTCTCTGTTCTTCACAAACATTTTACAAACATGTCGACCAGCTGATTACAAAAACTCGTGACCACTGGTTTAAAATAACCGATACAGCACTTACAAGTCATCAATATTTCACATGTTTAATATTTATAGTATAGGATAGAGTTGAATATATCCTCCTCCTCCTCTTCAGTGTAAATAAGTGTCAGAGCTCCTCAAAACATGTGTGTGAAGTTTCTTGTTCTAAATCCACTCTGATCCTGTATTTGATCATGTCTATAAACCCCTCTATTTCAGCCCTGCTCAGAACAGGCTGTTTCTGTGTCTGTACCTTTAAATATGTAAATGAGCTGTGTCTGACCACGCCCCCTCTCTGGAAGGACTTGGGTGTACTTGGTCTTTCTCGCTCCATGTCCTATTGTTTACGATGAGAAGGCAGACTCAGAGGGCAGAACAAACACCTAGCTGTGGGAGTGTCACCCACCTGGGGGAGGGGCTACTGCCCTTTGTGATGTCATGAAGGGAAAATCTCCAAACGGCCTGTTTGAGCACACATTTTATGAAAAGTGGAGCAGGCAGAAGACGGAGAGGATGGACTTTTCTCATCATTGGGGGGTTTGTAGACTAGAGACACATGTTAGAGTTAGAGGAACATGGAGAAGAGGATTTTAGAGAATATGTGACCTTTAAAGTTTTATGCACGCCCAAATTTTTTTTTTTAAATGCGTTGTGCAGCAGCAGAAAAGAACAGTCGTTAAGCGTGTTGTAACAGATGAAAACAATGGTTCTGCTGGTGACGATTTCCTAGCGGCCATATCTGTAGTTTTTTAAAGTGTGGGTACTTTTTAAAATCATTGATCCTTTAAATAAGATGATCAGTTTTGAAAAAGGTGGTATCGGAAAGTATCAAACATTTGACTCCTCAGCTACTGAATCACTGAGTCAAGGTGCGCCTCAGGTGAGCGTGTGGTGACCTGTGAATTTATCTGTGAATGAAGCAGAGCTGCATGTGCTGCTGCTGAGGATCAGCTGCTTAAAGAGCTCCTCTGTAATGTATGTGTCAGTAAGCTGGTCATGTGACACACACACACACACACACACACACACAGACACAGACACAGACACACACACACACACACACACACACACACACACACACACACACACACACACACACACACACACACACACACACACACACACACACACACTCACACACACTCACACACACACACACACACACACACACACACACACACACACACACACACACACACACACACACACACACACACACAGACACAGACACAGACACACACAGACACACACACAGACACAGACACACACACAGACACACACTGTAAAGTATGTTTAGATTAGTATTAATAAGTCATCAGCTCATTTAAATCTCCTCTGCTGTCAGCATTAACTTACGTTAATCACATTTAATCTCATGTTATTTTGTCCCTTTAGAAACACTGTAGATAAACCTCCTCAGTGTCTCCCTGTAGTCACGGTGATGCGCCAGGAGGCAGGACTTCCTGTCTAACCCTGGTCGTAGTGTGTCTCCTCTGAGTCGGACACTTCCTGTTCTTCGCCATAACAAAGACGTCGCCCACACCTGCTCAGACTCTCAAACACCTGCAGGAGACGATTCAACAGGAACACATGTTTAACACCAAACAACGAAGATGTTTTCTTCTAAATCAGTTCTACCAGCTCTGTATTAAAACATGCAGTTCCTCCAGTATCCACTAGAGTCTGTCTCCTGCAGTGAGTCAGTCCCCATAGAGCTCTATGTTAAAATGTCTAACTTTACAGCTGCAGTTCCTCCAGTGTCCACTAGAGTCTGTCTCCTGCAGTGAGTCAGTCCTCATAGAGCTCTATGTTAAAATGTCTAACTTTACAGCTGCAGTTCCTCCAGTGTCCACTAGAGTCTGTCTCCTGCAGTGAGTCAGTCCTCATAGAGCTCTATGTTAAAATGTCCAACTTTACAGCTGCAGTTCCTCCAGTGTCCACTAGAGTCTGTCTCCTGCAGTGAGTCAGTCCCCATAGAGCTCTATGTTAAAATGTACAACTTTACAGCTGCAGTTCCTCCAGTGTCCACTACAGTCTGTCTCCTGCAGTGAGTCAGTCCTCATAGAGCTCTATGTTAAAATGTCTAACTTTACAGCTGCAGTTCCTCCAGTGTCCACTAGAGTCTGTCTCCTGCACTGAGTCAGTCCTCATAGAGCTCTATGTTAAAATGTACAACTTTACAGCAGAAATAAATATGTTTACAGCCGGGTACAAAAAGAGTTTCAAAACTTCAAAACTCCTCTTCAGAAGCCAATGTTGACATCACTGAGATGACGTCCATGTTTTATACAGACTGAGGTTTGATCACTGGAGTGTAAACACTGCATGAAGCTTCAGACGCGACATAATGTGTCTTAACAAACGTCTCCAATGAAGCGCTCACCGAGCTGCTCCTCTGTCCCTCACTGATGATGCGTTTCCTGTCCGAGGAGGAAATTCTTGTCTGGAGCTGCAGGTTGTAAAGAAACAAAACTCTCGTCTTCTCCCTCTGATAAACACAAAAAGATGATCTGATATTTGGATTTTGTCATAAAAGAAAAACAGATCAAACCTGGACCCAAAAAGACAACAAGGTCTTTAAAGTATAAACCTCATCAGTGATTTTAATGTGACTGTAAAGAGTTTATTTTCAAAGTCATTAAAACTCAAAACAAGATGACATCACACTCTCTATCCCTGTGTGTGTGTGTGTGTGTGTGTGTGTGTGTGTGTCTCTCTCTCTCCCTCTCTCTCTCTCCCTCTCTCTCTCTCCCTCGCTCGCTCTCTCTCTCTACCACCTGCTCTGTTATAATGCTCTTACATTAATCTGCTCTCTGATCAGATTTACTGCAGCTC